TGTATATATATGTATGTATGTTTAAGTTCAGACACATGATAAGAAAATAATTGCGATGCAGTTTTAGTCGATAGTAAATCGGGTCCAGGAGCACTGTTTTTCAGATTACCAATAGCCTTATTAGTCCGGTAGCTTAGCAGATGGATGTGGACGTTCCAGACAAAAGCACCATTTTTTTTACATGCTCCTTATGGTCATAGCATTCAATTTTTGGTAGGAACCACCTCATCCGAGGTCATTATGGCGGCCATATTGGATTTCAAAATGGCCGCCTAATAAAACCTATGTTTATCTATATCTCCGCTTCTAAACCACTTGGAATTATAATTCTAATGTCTGAAACTACTTTTATATGGTCAAGGAATACCATCATACCATTTTTGACCTGGTCAGATTGCCACAAATAGGTCATTTAAGGTCATTTAAGGTCAAATATTGTATGGTATATTAAAAATTGCATAATTGTCATATTTTACATTAGAACCATACCCTCAGAATTTAAAATCTTTACTATGAACTACAATATTTCATTCGAGGTCATTCTGGCGGCCATCTCGAATTTCAAAATTGCTGCCACGCAAATCCTATATTTATCAATATATCGGTTTTTTAAACCATTTTAATGAAAATTAGGCCTATGATACCTAAAAATTATATTTATTATTCAAGGATTTATAACACTTGTGACATGGTCATTATATATATATATAGTATGTACACTTTTCAGTGAGATTAATATGCTTTAAATTAATTTGTATATACTTTTATTGTCATTAAACTCACGGTATACAATAATTTCTTTATATATGTTATTAGATATACATATAAGATATATCCCTATATACATGTATATATACACCTATATATAAACAAATAACAATAAGCATTGCTTCTATCATTTACCTATTGACAATGTTTATATACATATATATATATATACATATATACATATATATATATATTCAGTTGACATCATAATATATATATATATTATGACGGATTAACAATATTTAAATTAATTTTCAATTAGCTGAATATGAGGGCTGAACGTCTACAGGACATTACATTTAGGCGCATGTATAATATTTAAAAAAATAATAGAAAACAATGTTAATTTATATACTTATTTAATTTAATAGACCAATGGGATAAACCCATTTTGTAAATAATAATGTAAATTTAAAAAACAGAAGAGGAAAATCTGATCAGAATGAAAAGAAAACCTTGCCTCCACCAGGACTCGAACTCAGCACCTTTTTCTTAACGTGCGAAGGTCTTACCAACTCAACCACAGAGACCTGTGGTCGAGATACATATTTATATATTACAACATTATTATTATTCTCTCTTTTAACTAGTATTGTATTTATATACTAATACACAGCAAAGTATTTATATAAGGCATTTCATAGAATCTTGCCACTGTTCTGATTATTTAATAACAATCTGAGAAGATGTATTATTACGATGTCATACAATATTGATATTAAATGACCTATTTATGACCATAATTATCTGACCATGTCACCACTTTTATTTTTATCTTTTGTGGGGGTAACCACAAAATTTAAATAAACACATACTGTACCACAGTATACAATAAGAAATCCTGTCAAAAAATTATGAGATTTTG